CGCTCTCTTCTTGGGGGCTTCGTTTGCCTAAATATCTATAGTTATGGGAAAATTAAATTAGTTTCCTTTCCTCGACAATTATCTGGTAAGAAAAAAAAAATTCCTTATTTCATTGAACTGTCCTAAGACTTGAGTTTGAGATGTGGTAGGTTTTATTTTTTAAAATATTTTTTACTTGAAAATATATAAAATTAATATTTTTTATTTTTTTAATTCAATTTTGGGCATCAAAACAATCTAAAATACTGTAAAAAATTAATTTAAAATTATTTTTTTTAAATGATTGGGCTGTAATTCAAGTTCTTAGTATATTTGGGTTTTGTTTTGTTTTTCACATCATTTTTTGAGGTCATTTAAATGAATGGGCTTAGCATTTTGAAAAGCCCATTTAATTGCTAATTGGATTCTTTTAACAAAATCCAAATGAAGAAGAGGAAAATAAAACAAATAAGGAATCAAACCCAAGTCCTTGTAAAAAATGGTATGGCATATAATTATTGATATGCAAAGGAAACAGATATGAATTCTCTGCTGCCCTTGCCATGAAATAAGTTGCTCCATTGTTGGATGGTGCTGCCTACAATGCAACATAATCAATTTATTAGCATAAAAACGTTTTTGTAATAAACACATACTAGGGGTTCGTTTGTTTATTTTTAGCTTTTTTGTGTTTATGGTGTAAAAAATATAGTTTCATGTTTGGTAATATATTAAATTACATGTAGTTTTTGTAAAATAATTTTATATATTTTTAATTGAGTTTCATAAAGTTTTGTTTGTTTTTGGATTTCAAAAAAAATTTTTAATTTAATTTTTTTATTTTTTCTTTATTTAAAATTATTTTTTTATTTTTTTAGATCATTTTGATGTGCTGATAATAAAAATATTTTTTAAAAAATAAAAAAAATTATTTAATACATTTATAAGTAAAAAGTATTTTTTATAAACAACTATAACCAAATATTTTATATTTTTTTTATTATACATAAAACTCAAGTATAATTTTTATAAATCAACCAATTATAGAAGTTAGTTAAAAAACAAAAACACTCTAAATAAATAAGTTAATTATAATTATTATTATTTTACTATTTTTCTGAGCAGATTAATTAATCCATGGAGCATAAAAACAATTAAATAGTATTTTGACCGGATGTTTAATTTAATAATATTTTGTTTAAAAAATGCTTTTTTTGTCAATCTTTCTACACCATCTACTTGCTTTTTTTAACCTTCTATATTTTTAAAATAAAAAAAGGAAGAAAAAAAAGGTGAAATGAATGAAGAAAATTAAACAAGGATTGATTAAATATTCTTGCTAAAATACAATCACTCCTGGATAATAATTTATCTCTTTCATGTGATCACAGCAAGGCAGAGGGTGCTCACAGAAACAAAGAAAGACCCAACGGCCAACACCCAATAACGCACGTCCCCTTGCTCTTGGGAGATGGGACTCAACTTTTAAGTAGTAAACAAACTCGCATCGCTTCCCACTTCCAAACCCTAAAAACTACCTCCTTTCTTCCCCAGCCAAACCTCTCTCTCTCTAACTCTACCTCTAGATCTCAATCAACTCACAAAACCCAACTCACCTTTCATTTCCTTTAAATGTAACACATCCGAGAAAACACACAAGAAAAGGGTGTCTTTTTAAGATTTACTACAACATGGCCTCAGCTTGTGTTAACAACATGGGCATGTCCCCTGAAAATTTCCCACCCAAAACTTACCAATCTTATGGCTGGTTAAGCCCGAGAATCTCTTTTAGCCGTGAAGAGGATAGTAATAACACAACCACCTCTAAAACCACCTCCGCCAAATCATCATCATCATCAGCAGCAGCAGCAGCAGCTGCTGCAGCCTCCTCAGCTCCTCTACCCCCACCTCATACACAGCAACTAGATCCACCGGAGATCATGGACTCTGTCGACTTTGAGTTCCGATTAGACAACTCCTTCACCATGCTTCCTGCAGATGAGCTGTTTTCTGATGGGAAATTAATGCCATTACAAATCAATACTGGTAACGCCAAACCTTCTTTACCACCATCTACTTCTACCTCGGTCAACGAGTTGACTGAGGCGGTGAGGCTGCCGGAGCCCGGGAGGGAGCCGGTGAAGTCTTGCCGGAGATTGGAGATGGAGATTTCCGGGACCGATCCATACTTGTTTTCCCCCAAAGCTCCCAGATGTTCGAGCCGGTGGAAGGAGCTTCTGGGTTTAAAGAAATTACACCAAAACCCTAAGCCTGAAACTCAAAAACCATCAACCAGGACGGCATTGTTTGCTTCGTCCTCGTCGAATCCCAAGTCCCTTAAACATTTCTTGCACAGGAACTCAAAAACCTGCAATTGCAACACATCGTCCTCAAGCTCCTACACCTTATTAGACCATTCATTGAGTCTCCCACTGCTAAGAGATTTGGATTGCGAATCGCTCTCCATTTCTTCTCGCTTATCGCTGTCATCTTCATCTTCATCCCATGAGCACGAAGATCTCCCAAGATTATCCCTCGACTCTGATAAACCAAGCACCAACCTCAACTTAATGCAAAACCCAGGCCCGAATCCATTCATTCTCAACCGAAATCAAAACCAAAACCCACCAAGAATGAGAATGGTGAAGCCATTATCAGAGAATGGAAACAACAATAGCGGAACCTCTTCAACCACAAGGGTAGGGAGGAGCCCAATGCGGAGGGCAGCAGGGGAGTCGAGTGAGGTTTCAATAAGTAGTGGGGTTTCAGTGGATAGCCCGAGAATGAATTCATCAGGGAAAATAGTATTTCAAAGCTTGGAAAGAAGTTCAAGTAGTCCAAGTAGTTTTAATGGAGGGCCAAGATTTAAACATAGAGGAATGGAGAGATCTTATTCGGCTAATGTTAGAGTGACTCCAGTTCTTAACGTTCCTGTTTGTTCTCTTAGGGGGAGTTCAAGGTCAGGTTTTGGGTTCGGTCAGTTGTTTTCTTCTTCACCGCAAAAAAGAGATGGCTTTAGCAAAGGGTATCAGCAGCAGCAGAATATTACTAGCAGCAGCAACAAGTACAGGTCTGAGAGGTTAACAGAGAAGAGAAGAGAGGCATAGAGAGAAGGGTAACAGCAACAACATTTTAGTTTTTTTCTTTTTTTTTTTGAATTTATGTTATTATGGGTTTTGTTTTAAAAAAAAAAAAATACCACATGACATTGATGCTTTAGGTGTTTTGTACATACGAGGGAAGGGGTTTCTCTTTGCTTCTGTTATTGTTGTTTCTTGTTCGTAGAAAGTATCGAAAGTGTAGCTGCTGTTGTTCTATTGAGGTAAAGCTAACCAACCCAGATGCTCAAAATGCAGAACCAAATCAATTTATGTGTTGAGCTTGTTGAAGGTCTATTTTCTCGATCTTTTTCGTTCTTCCCTGTCCTCTGTCTCCTGATTCGGCAAGATGTCAATACCCCCATGAAACCACAAATCGGATGGGGGGTTGCTCTGTTATTTTGATCCGATCAAATATTGCTCCAGCCGTCTATCTACCCCGTGTCGAATATTGTGGGCTCTTCGTTTTCCTGATTGAAAGATATGGAATCTATGACTGTCTCTGCAGATGTTTCTTTTCAGAGACATTTGAGGGATGGGACTTGGAATTGGGAATTGTGCGTTTGAAATGCACTCTCTCTAGGGCAAGTGAGTGACTTCTTGAATCCCCTTCTGGGCTTCGGAGATTTTTCAAGCTTATCTAATCTGTCTCTGTCCGAGAAATATTTTTTAATATATTTCAATCGTTTGTTGTTTTGTGGGAGAGTTTGGGGAATGATGCGAAGATTCAAACAGAGGCGCCAGCTCTGCTGAATAATCTGTTCATGGCAGTCTGATCCCAAAACCTCTCTGCCTAATTGGGGTGTCATGCACGGGATTTTACCATTCTATCATAATTTATTTGTTAAAATTTTTAGAAAAATAATATAAATTCAAAAAATATTTAAAAAATAACATAATTCTAACTATCACTATTTTTAAAAGCGGGATGTTTAGTTAGGAGGTTAAAACATATCTCATGTAATTTAGTTAATAAAGAAATTTATGAATATTAAATAGTCAAAAAAATAAGATTTAATATTCGATAATAGTTAATAAAAATATGAGAAATAAACTGATGTGGCAGGTGAAAAAAAAAGAAAAAAAGAATGAGTCATTAACAACAAGGACTTATTTAACTTAATTCCAAATAAATTTCCTAATAATTTACTCAAATTTATTTTTTCTCATCACATCAGCTTATGAGTTTTTATGTGAGGTGTTCTTTGGCCTTAATGTTTTTTGAGAAAGTAGATGTGGGTTTTATATTTTTTTGGATTCTAGTTTATTCTTAGTTTTTTAACTGATTTTTTGGTAATTTGAAGCAGAGTTTATTTAGGTTGGTGTTTTTCAAATATTTTAGGATAAGAAATGAAATAAAATGGATTTTAAGGTCCAAAAATCACCTCCCTTGAATTTTTGAATACCCTTAATGGTGTTCAGATTTTAGATTGCAGAAAATGCCTCATCTACACTTTTTTTAAGCAAAAAAGGGTGAGTGACATAATTTTCATCTAGTTTAATAAAAAATAAATAAAATCTAGACGTAGAAGCCTGGGTTGGCTGGCCAATACACCTAATTTTTTTTTTAAAAAAAATCATAGCATGCTAGGCTATCAAGACTGGCTAGCCCAACATTTTTCTTTAATATTTTTTTAAAAAAATTATATCATTGACCATTAAATTTTTATTGGTTATGTTATAGAATTTTTTATTTTATTTTTATATTATAATATTTTATTAATTTTAAATTGTTATTTGTAATATGTTTCAGTTTTTATTTTATAGCATTGTTATAGTCATGTATAAATATTTGGTTATTTGGTTATTATCTAATTTTACGAGAGTATATATTTGTTTTTTTATAATTAAATAAAAAATAATTTATAAAAAAAATTATTGAATCTAATAAAGTGCATGATTCAATCAATAAATTTAACAAGTTAATTTAAATTTAATTAATTTTTTTAATATTTAGTTAATTATAAATTGAACTATATAATTAGTTTCAATTTATTTTCAACAGGGATTATCACGATCTTGTAATTTAGATTACAAGTTTAGAAAATTAATTTAAACTAATTTAATATGCAATCGTTTTAATACTTGGAAAAAATAAAATTATTCAACTTAATATTTTAAAAAATAACATCTAATATGTATTAAATTCTAAATTCATATCTTATAGAAAACATGTTAATAAAATCTAAATTTAATTCTTTTAAAAAAACAATCCAACTAGAAATCCAGACCAATTATCCGGTTCGAGCTCACTAGTAGTCGAGGAACAAGGCATGTGGTAGCCGGGATTGCATTAAGATCCAATCTGGAGGTAAGATTTGGGAGGAGGGGGGGAATATATGGGGGCTATGATGTTTCCGAGAGGGTATTAAGAGAGAAAACCCGAAGAGGCAGGCAGCGGAGGGGGCAGGCAACAGGCACTCATGGTAGTATTCGGAGTAGCCTCCAAGATTTGCCTGATTTTTAGAACGACGGAGTCCCATGTGCTCAATTCCTATGGTGGTGAGAGGGACGGAGAAAACATATAAAAAAGGGGGCATCTGTGGTTTTACCAGATTTCACGTTGTCGTTGTCCAGTGGGCCCATCATCATGTCCCATTCTGCCAAGATAACAATTAACAAGACCCTGCCTGCTCCTTGCTTTGTCCAATACAGGTACTTCTTTTATTTTATGTTTTTACGAGGACGCCACTATGCTCTCCAATAATTAAGTTAAAATTAAACGGGATTGTCTTTTTATTCTTTCTTTTTATTATACGTACGTAAACAAATACAACGAGGATTTTTCCAGGACTTTTTTTTTTTCTAACTTTTTTTAACTTCCTTTCATCCTCGTTTATTAAATATAAAATTTTATAATTTATTTTATTTTATAATTTATTTTAATTTTATTATTTAAATTATAAATTTTACAGATTAATTAAGTTAATTCGAGTTATTTTTTTATTTATTTTTATAAATTCATTCTTTAATATTAAATTAATCTAGCATTGAACATCATGTTTATTTATTTATTTTTTATGGAATTATCATAATTTTTTTTATCAAAGTTTGACAAGTTAATTCTTTATTTTTTTATTACTCAGAATATTTTTTTATTACTTTATTTTTTTTTCAATTTAATTCTTCAAAATTATTTTTGATTGAGAATCATAATTTATATATACGGGGTTATTATAATTTAAGTCATGGTTTAGGCTTCTTGATTAGTGATCCTTTTGTCTTTTTTTAGTTGTTGTTTTTAATTTTATTATTTAATATTAGGTTGATTGAGAATTAGGGATTATAATTTGTTTTGATTTACATTCTATAAAATTATCACAGTCTCTTGACCAAAGTCACAGGTGTGATCAATTAATTAGAGTTGACTCGGGCGGTTAGTTGTGTTCCTTTTCTAATTGATTTTTTTTTAATTTCACCCTTCGATATTAAGATGATTAAGAATTAAGTTTCATAATTTATTTTGATTTGCTTTCTATGTTATTATTTTAATCTTATGACTCATATTTAATAGATTAACATGAGTTTGTTTGATTTATTTTTATACTTGAATTTTATATTCAATTTCATCATTTAATATTTGATTGATTGAGAAATAAGTTTAATAATTTTTTATTTGCTTCCTATAAGATTTGTTTGGGGACTAAAATTCATCTAATATGTTATTGTCTTAATAGTTTTTGTAAAAAAAATTATCATCTTAAAGTTTTATTAAAAGCAAAACTATGTTTTTTTACTAGTTATCAATATTGCATTAATTTTTATAAATAAAATTAATTAATTTAATTTAATTTAACTCCCATAAAATTTAGGTTGAAATTCAAATTAGATAAAAAATTAAATTACAAGATTTCAAAATTTATCTAGTAAAAAAATTCTTTATATTTTAAACATGTTTTTTATATTTCAAAAAATTTATCCAAGATATGGCGAGATGGGGATCAATAGGCTAGTTGTTCTTAGTATTATATTCATTTCTTATCGTCTCTTATAATGATGTAGTGTTTGACCAGTCTTCTAAGGCCAACCAATTTTTGTCCAATGGTGTTTTGGTCTGTGACAACATGAAAGCAAGAAGCAGTCCACTTGTTTCTAGTTTATACTTTAAAGCATGTCTAACCACCATGTTCTCCTTTTGTTACACATGAGGGATTTTTGGGGTGAATTCCGTACTATAATTGTGTTCGTTCAAATATTACTTTTATATATATATATATATATATATATATATATATATGTTCTTGTTAGTTATAATGGTTAAAAGAGGGATTGACAGTTTGAAATTGTATTAAATTTTTTTTAAAAATATTATTTAAAAATATTTTTTTGGGTTTGTATATGATGTTAAAAATAAATTTTTAAAATTACAAAAAACCGCACTTCAAAAATAACCGCTGCACTCTTGGAAAGCAGGATTATCATGGAGCAGACTCTCACGCAAAAAAAAATTCAAATCTGTAGTTCAAGTAAATCTAATTAAAAATAAATCTCTATGAGCATAATGATTACGATAAAAATGCACATAAATCCACGAGGTGCGATGAAAACTAGAAAACTCCAATCAGAAAGGGACTTTCTGAAGCCGGAATGCAAGGATTAGAGGCTTAATTTGAATTCTAATGATCAGGTGCTGAGATGATACATGGGCTTATCACTTACGAACGACAAGACGCGGGGTGTCCTTCCATTCCTTATCACACATTTCATCAAAGCTATCAAGACATTTCCAGTCTGTTCCAAGAGATCAAATGTCTGTGATGTAAGAAGCCAGAGCTCTCACCAATTTGGTGTTGCCAAACGAGGTGACAGGCAAGGAGGAAGAGCGGTAGATGGTAACGCTATTCTACATGAATGCTTATATTATTATGTCACAATAAAGTTTCTTGTTTGTCGCTCCTGGTGTTAAGCAGCACAGAAATGGGGTGGGAAATTCCTACTTGTAAATGCTACGAGGCACACTAATCAGCACAGAGGGTTTATTGTATATATATGCTGATAGTAATTAATTAAGAGTATTTCCGAGACACCTAATGTTAGGCCATCAATTTCTATGGCTGTTGGATCGGTGAGATCTCTCTCTCTCTCTCTCTCTGTGGGTGTGTGTGTGAGTAAGTAGGCGCCTGAAAAGGCTGGAAACGAGGGCACCAATGAATGAAAGAACGTGCTCATCTTCTGAAGAGATTCCCTGTTCTCCAATCTCTTTACCTTTCTATCATGCGCTTCTCTTTCAATTCATGCAGTAGATTTTGGGTTTTATTATTATTATTATTTGAATCTTTTTCTCTTTTCCCTTTTTTATATAT